GGTAAATAACATTGATTATAATGGACTAAAGTTGTAAAATAGCTTCCAATCTATGTACAGATTTAAGCAAAAATCAGTAAAAAGTTGTTTTTTCTCTCTTAGTAAACAGTCGAAACATTTTGTTTTTGTTTTAGTATCATTTTGTATCTTTATATGACTTCTTTATCATAAGTGAAAATAAGAAAAAATTTAAATATACGAAGCAAATAATAGTAACTAATATATCCTTTAAATATAACTAATACATGTAATAATAGTCACTAATATATCCTTTATATCCTTTATCCAGTGCAGAAATAGAGGAAATTCGGATTAGCCAAAATCTATTTTAGTCAATTTACTAGTATATTCTGATAGACCCTTTATAGTAACATCTTTTATGCAAAAAGAAAAACATATTTATATTTGAAATAGTAGGCATCACATGCTTGGCAACAGTAATTTTTTTTAATCTAAATGTCAAAAGAAAAAAGAAAATGACCCTGACCTGACCTTGTTTCTTAAATAAAACAGTCAACTTTAACCCATAACATCACCTAGTGATGATGTCTTCTTGAATCTATGAAAATTCTTTGGATATATACAAGAAATATGAGAATAATCCCTTATAGATTTACTCTTTTGAACACTTTTCACAGGTTTAGACTGGTGTTGCCAAAGATGAAACTGATAAACATATCATCTAGAAAGACTTATGACGTGAGGTGTTTTAAAAACAGTCCTGGTGGAAAAGATTAAGATTCAACACTTCGTAAAAATTACTTAATAATTACAAAATTTAAAAAAAATTGAATCGATGTATAGATGTAGTTATGGTAACTAAATATACTATATACATGTATACAATATTATAACTAGATATATCATGATATATTGATATATTGCGATACACATGTATTTTTCTTCAATATTTTGATACATATTTTTCCCTGAAGATGCACAGTCCTATTTATTGGTTAGAATATTTTAATTATGTAATAAAAGTAAATTAGCTTATTTAAAAACAAAAAAATAATGATAAAACATGAAGTTCTTTAATTTATGTTCTTGGTTAGATAAAGTTTAATGCATATCATCATAATTCATTTTCTATAGGACAATTACACAATTTTAAAGTCTATTGAAGTATATGTGAGACTTACCATTTCAAATGTGCATTTATTATTGCTTTGGAAAAATGCTTTATTATTCAAACATCACCTTTATTTCAGAAAAAAGTAAATTAACCACGTGTTAAATGAATGAAAATTCGCTTCATTTTCGTTTACAATTAAGGTTCATTGGTCCTTTGATAAGAGAAATATAACTTACACTGGGATAAATCACTATTATTCATGTATAAAATCGTCAAGATAAAAGCCATTTTTGTCAAATATTAGTGTATTCCGTCGGTAGAGATTAGCAACAATTTTGGGTTTTTATATATTACATATTATGGAGAAAAACCTACAACATTCATGCAACATACTTAACATTTATACTTTACACGCAATTCACTAACTTTAAATACCGTCAATATCACAATATAAATTAAATATATTTCTTGAAATTATGAATTATTAATATAAATAAATAGATAAGACCTTATTAGCCTACATGACCCTATATCTTTCATAATTAAATGATGTGTGTCTACCTTGACGGTGTGCATAGATATGGGCGGGCAGGTAATTTAAAACAGGTTTTGTTAGTGTGTAGTGAACACAACTTGAAGAACCTGATACTCAGTAATGCATTTCATATCATCAATTTAAGTAATCCTTATCACGAAAGCAAAATGGATGCATCAAAAAAGTGAAGTCGCACGTGTGGCGCAGTGGTACGGCGTCTGCTCTAGAGTCGAGGAGTAAGGAGTTGATCCTTACGTCGCGGGTTCGAATCGTACGGTGGGACGTGGAGGCTGGTCCTTCAGATGAGACCGTATAAACCAAGGTCCCGTTTCGCAGTAGATGTGGCACGAAAAAGATCCTTCACTGCTTCATGACCTTGAGTGCCGAGTATAGGTCAAAATTCGCAGCTATCGACCGGCAAGTGGTGGCGTCTCCATATGGGTGAAAAATTCTCGAGAGGAACGTTAAACAACAAACAAACAAACAAAAAGAGCAAAAATGCTTTAAAATAAACCAGTGGCAGCGATTATGTTGTTAACACAAACGGCAAAGGTTAAACGAAGTAAAGATACACAAAAATGTAAAACAAAATAAAATATTTCGAATTTTACAGTCAAATTTTGCAATATAGATATTTGAGACCGATGTACCTGGATTGAAAATTCTTGTCTATCAGACTTCAGGCATTCCAAAAAAAAAATGAAAAGATTAATCGCGCTGATTTGACAATTCAATGGTTTCATTTCAATATTTGTGTTCAGAAAACACAGATTTGAAATCAAAACTATCTGGTGCAAGAGAAAAGTGCATTTTAATTGAAAGTGAACAGAGAACGCTGAATGATTCCAGTGCAGAAAGTTACGAAGAACAAAATGGTATTTACTGGCAGTAGGAGAACGCTCAAGGCAGATGGAAACGTTTTCCAAAGACAGAAAATCAGAAAATTTCGAAAGTATTTTAAAATCATTTTTCAATTCGTTTTCGACTATGACGCGTTTAATGTCTTGCTAGCTTTTTTAAAATTAAAAATCGTTATATTTTCTCTATATAGAGTGATTTTATCAAAGATAAAGTTCATAAATACGTTGTCGAGATAGACACATAATGTAAGGTACTGATAAAACGAAGTTACAAGAGCTACAACTTGGCACATTTACTTTGGAATGTCGAAAATAATGAAAAGTTTGAAAACATCTCTGATTCCTTGCATAAATATTGTATTTAACCATGTACTTCATTCACAATGTACTTTCCCGAAAGAATCTTGTACGAGGGGTGATCAAAAAGCTCGCAAACTATCTCTATATTTACAAAACCACAATTCAGATCAGAATGAACATATAGCCATACATATGCTCTATAAATAGCATTGTCATGTATTGTTTTGCTAAATGTTTGTGACGTCACAATGTGAAAATGACGTCAATATGTAGGTGACTTGTGACAAAAAATGGTTGACTCAGTCGTACTCGAGCAACGAACGGCTGTAAAGTTTAACGTGTATCTTGGAAATTCCTCTGCAGTAGCATATAATAATTTGTAAAACGTTAATGAAGACAAAAGACTTGCCCAGAGTTTAATCATTAATTAGATTGGATGTTTTAGTGAAGAAAGGGAGATGATTAAAACTGACGTTTTTCTGTTCCCCAGTGTTGTAAGCGGGGAAAGAGATGTGTCTCTAGTTGAGCAATTTGTTAAGAAAGATCGCTAAAGTTGCAGTTAGAAAAATAGTTGAATATCTTAACAATAATATAATTATTGAATCTCTAAAATTTACTTTAGACTTTAAATATATCAGATATGTTAAAAAGAAGGCGTCCATACTTTATCCACATTGGATAAACGACGCTCCTAAGTCAGAGGATTCGGGTTGTGTTGGTCACCATGCTCATTCCGGGGAAGGATATCCTTATCTACCCATCCTATTGCCGAGATTAGGTCATCTTTTACAAATGGACTGTTCTTGTTATAAAAAAAAATTTGTATGGTAAGAAATATACGACCCGGAAAATCTATCAGCTTCTGTGAACAGAACGCTACGGAGCATCTTACGTGATCGCTAGGATCACGTGATTCGCATTAAAATCGGATAGGACTACTTTAAAAAATAATGAACACTGAAACCTATTTTATTTCTTTTATGAAAGTAATTCAATTAATTCGCGAGCTTTTTGATCACCCCTCTTATTAAGCACATATTTATCATTGTAAGAATTCTATTTTATGACTGCAATCATTTTACACGTGTACATACCTGAAAAAATTAATCTATATAAAAAAATGAATGTCATCAGTATACTAAAAGTTTTTAAAAACAACATCATAGAACATAGTGTATATATTCCAGTTTTATACATTCTTTGCTGGTAAGAAATGGACAACTCGTTACTCTTAATTCTCGATATAGAAAGTATTTTTTCAAATGGTAAAAATATAGGATTTTTTTGTCTCTTAATTGGAGTTGTACAAGTTGTTCCTTTTAATTATTCAATCCAACACCTGAATACCATAAACAAAATATTTGAAACGGGCAAACCAAGAATTCAACAAGTTTGCAACTCGCATAATGTAGCAATTTCCATTTGCAGTGTAGATCCCTTTTTTTTTTTTTAATCAAATCCTTTGCCTACAACAAATTCGAAGGAGTACACAGGAAAGTCAGCCAGGGAATATCTTGTCAAGAAGGTTGCAGCATGAGCTGAGGTGACCATTAATGCACAGATATTTCGTTTATATTTATTTATTTATTATCATGTTTTTTTTTTTTTTTTTTTTTTTCTTTCTTTTTTATCTTACATCCTGACCTACGGAAGCCCCTTGAGGCCACTTCAGAGAAAGAAATATTTTTTATTGCCTTTAAACGCAATAATTTTTGCGTTTAATTGAGTTTTTATTGATACAAGTTTTATAAATATATAAATATGACAGTGGTGTGGAAGAACAAAGAAATCTTAAGTAAAATTAGTTTTGTGCTGGACAAATGCAGATAAAAACGTCATGGGCTTAATTTACTTAACACTTTTTTATGGGGGGTTTTTTCTCCCTATATTAACAACAAGGACCAGGAGACAACATTGTTGCTTCAATAAGATTAAGCAACATTTATATCATAAAATATGTTTCTGTGTAGGTTTTAATGGGAAAAAATGAGACATATTACATTTATTTCCTATGAATTCGATGTATGTTGTTATCCGGATGAAATAAGGAAAGATATTTAATCTATGTGTCCGGTTACAGATGTTTACAAGGAAGTGAATTAAAAATTTAAGCAAATTAAAAACATATTTTGAAACATCTTAAGATTCATAGAATATTTAAAAAAAATGAACAGAACAAACAAAACAAATATACAGTGTTTTACAAATTTGAAAATGTGAAAATCTGGTTATGGCAGCCGCAGGTAGACTTGATGACAATTGCTTGAGAGAAAGATTGAGCAAAGAGGCTGAAGAAAGTAAGTATAAATAAAGGATGACTGCACTTAAGGACATGCGGAATTTGCGACAAAATAAACTTTCAAAACAAGCATTTTTCTTTTCATTGCATGAATGGTCAACATCCAATCCACAACTTTATGTAATTACGTTTAATAAAAGTGTGTATTTACGAAGTTCGAATCTGTTTTCAAAGGCAGGGGTCATCATAATTTCTTGAATCTTCGTTCGATAATGAGGACGCCCACTTTTTTACTGACTTTATACATAGTCAGCGCGTGTTTGTCTATTGTTCTACGTTTAACAGTAGTTGTATATTTGCATAAATAATACTGTGTCAAAAGGAGATTAATAGACAAACATGCGCTCATGGTTAAAAAGAGAAAAAACTGCTTCTTCTTACATTCGCTCTCCGTGTTGTAACCAAGGACTGTGACATGTTGAATATTATAATTCACCACGTGATTTCTACCTCAGGTAACTTTGTGAATACTTAATTCCGTCACGTGACTTGTAAGGTAGCATGTTTTGTGCTAACTAGGACATTGTGTTCGAACACGTTAAGTCATCTGGCATTGATATGAAATCTGCTTTAATCACATTGACGTGCTCATATTGTTAATTTCGTTTTGAAACCTTTGTCAGAAGTGTATTTGTGCCATACAGAATAAAGAGGGAGATTGGAAAGAGTGATCACGTTCGCTTTTCCAAACATGTCATTGTTATTTATCAAGTCTAATTTTAGACCCATTCTTACAATGTTAGCTCCACCTCTCATGCATATCTAATGTTCAATCAAGGGCAGGTAAGTGTAAATTCACTATATTTGGAAAGCAGTAAGGACAAAAAACATTGAATCATTTTATTGTATCACAGTCTAAAATCATTTTAAGATATAAATGTGGTTCCAAATTGACAATATTCTTTCATAAACATACAAAAGTGAAATAAGGTTTAGATATAAAAGCAACAGAAGCAACCGAAAAAGACCCAAAACAGGTGTTAAGTGCAGTCATCCTTTAAAGAGATTTATGACGTTTGGTCCTTTCATTTGATTTTTAAAGAATTATCCTTATGATATCGATGTACCTTTTTTGAGGAAAAAATGTGTCATTTGTAGTTCGTAAAAGAAAGCAAAACATTGGAAGCGGAGTGTGTAACCTGGTTATTTTGGATACATCAGAAAGCATGAATGGAAAAGGTTTTTTCGAGATGAAGGAAGCTTTTTTATCTATAATTGAAGGTACAGGATTCAATCACTTATGATTCTGATGGAGTATGATATAAGTAATGATATGACAAGATACTACAGATGTTATCTCTATGTAGGTTACGCTGTGCATCCCATGTTGAATGAAGATGTTGCTGTGATACAGTTTGGAAAAGATGTTAAATATCTGCATTATTTTTCAAACGATTGTGATTCTTTGAAGACAGAATTAGGTATTAGTAAATTTGAGAATAAATATACCTCATCTAATTCTAATAATAAATATCTCTTTTTTTTTTAAAAAAAAAAAAAAAAAAAAAAAAAAAAAAAAAAAACATACATCATTAAAATGGTAATGGTCATTTTATAGAATTAAATTCAATTCTCTTAATAAATATCTTAGATGATGTCTCATGCTCAGGACCATCTCCAATGATTGAAGGTTTTCTTTTAGCAGTTCCAGCTTTGGAGGGTGGACGTATGTTTCCTTTTTTTTTTTTTTTTTTTTTGGTTTTTGTTTATAATATTTTTTACACTTTTGCGAGAAATGAATTAGCGTTTGCAATAATTTTCATGCATTCGTAGATAAGGCATGCTTATTCCAAATTGTCAATGTACAACTTTACAGAAACTACCATTTGCATCGGCCCATTTTGTGTCCGAGTTAGAATTATTCTTATTTCGGATGGGAAACCAACAATCTTCAGCGACTCAGAGTCAAATTCCCTTGATAATGATGATACAAGAGATCAAGTAATCTAGGAAATATTTCTATAAGGAGATGGGCGAACATAGCGTGCAGAAGCCTATAGCTTCAGATACATAAAAACCATGTTCAGTTTGTGCATTTAGGATTTAGAGTAAAGTTCTCATTGATGAAATTTATGAAGTTATGATAAACAAAACTTTTCTGAGGAAAATTTTCTCGACAAAATTTATTCTTTTTATTTAAAAAAAAGAAATGATGTGGTATTCGTGGGGTTCGCACCCTAGCAATAAAAATCCTGAGTATAATTTTCTTTCGAGACTAGCACGCCAACCACTAGACTACACAAGTCCTGATTAAGGGTGGCATTTAAATCATGTTTGTGATATGACCCTTGACTTAATGGACTTCAAATTAAATATTTCTCGAAAAGATGCGCATGTTATGTCATAAAAGTATATTTTTAAGGTATAGTTGGTTATTGTTCCATATTTTTGGTAACCAAAAAATGTATATTTTTATGCAAACTTTGAGGATTAACTTTCAAAAAGATGGGGCGAAGACCCACTCATATCGAGAAAAATAGTGTTATAGTATTGGAAAATGACTCTTTTTGTCCGGTTTAGTGTGTGTCTAATATTTCACAGGCAAATAATTTCAATCTTTGAGAGATTTTTGCAAATTATAGAGATTTTACATAAAGTATATTTTAAAGTTAGACGAAATATCAAGGAAAATTTTGATATAATTGAAATTTAATTTTTCATCTTCATGTTTGTCACACTATAGGCTTATCGCTCGTAATGTTCACCCATCTCCTTTTAAAAATTGGTTTCCTTACATTATCATTATGGAATGCCTTTGTAAGTACTCATGATAAAAAATACACATAATTTAGAAATAGATTTTTACACTAATTTACATTTTAGATTTTAAAAAAAACATGAAATATTTTGTTCTGATGTATTAAAGGTCTTTTACTCTGTTCATGATTTGATAATGAAATTAATCATTATTCAAGAATGTGCAACTATTGGATCTGACAAGACAAATTGGATCTAGAAATCCTATAATCTGTGTACCTGTTGGAAACGAACCCAACATGGTATGTAAATAAGAATATTTTTTTTAAATCAATAACCAATAAGTTGTTTTGACGTGTTCTTATGGAAATAATAATAATTTTTGTTGTTTTATCATTTTGTCAGAATTTACTACAGTCTGTTGAATATGGATCTCAGGGTGGAAAAATCTTGAGTTACAGAAACGCAAGAGAATATGCAAGACATACATTGAACATGGTATTGTCCACTCTACTGAACGGTGTATCTGTATTCTAATCTCTTATATATGAGTGTTTTAGAATCCCTCTTTCAATTTCATTTGGACAATGATATTGAAGTGAGATTTAAAAACCCTCTTTATATTTAGTTTGTAGCAAGGGACATTATTGGCGAGATGCCTCTCAGTTCTTGTACATTCGATGACGTAAAAACCAAAGTGTTGTCCAGAGGCTTTCATTGTCATGTGACAAATCATAATTTGGTATATACATGTATTTATGGTGTTTTGTACCAACACTTTGATATCTGAACGAAATATCATTTGGACAATGAAATTATTTTCCTGATTACATTATCATCTTAAATGTTCATTTAGCGTGACCAAAAGAGTTGAACAATTAATCCAAATTTTTATAAAGTAATATTTTAGAACCTCCATTGTATTTTGATCTGGGGATTCTTTCTTTTAAACAGAATTTGGGACGAAGAATTGTCATACATTATATTAAAAATGTATTTACCCAGCTTCCTGTCTAAGTTATAAGTAAAATTTAGTTACAGACGGCTAATTCTCTCTTTGTGAAAAATAAATTACAAAAATTTAATATTGTTTGCTTTTCTCCAAATTAGGAAGATGTATTGGAGATATTAAACAATAGACGTGCATATGAAGCGTATACCTACGAAAATGAGGAACATCTTGAACAAAGTGTTTACAGTGAACGTAATAAACGTCTCCCAGCACCTGGTACAAGGGTCCACAGGGGACCACGGTGGTGTTGTGGTGATGAAGACTCCCGTGGTTATGGCACTATCATAGGGCACGATAAAAGAGGTATTTTAAGTGTTCCTCATGAGTAAAACAAGAAATTAACGATTCTGTAATTACATCTTTTTCTGTTGAAGATGAACGGGTGAATGTTGAATGGGATACGGGAATGCGGTTCTCTTATGAGTATGTTATAGAAAACCAAGAACAGTTTGTAGTCATTCCTTGTAATGAACCTCGGATACTCAAGAGAGAAAGCATAGCGGTCGGATGTGTTGTTAAAAGAGGTAAATGACTTAGCATTTTTTTTCTACAAATTTGAAAGCTGTTTTGAAAGATGACATCTATAGAATTTTGCTGAAACAGGTTCTTAAATTAAACAACTTTTACAGGCAAGCTTATAGTATATCACCTATAAGATTGTATGACGTAAACAATTTCCATATTATGCTTGAGGTACAGTACCAACCAGACCCAACCTGACACCAAAGCAGTTCCAGAAAGCAGTCCCCGGGACTGCTTTGGGACCGCTCTGGGACTGCTGTGGGACTGCTCTGGGACCGCTGTGGGACTGCTCTGGGACCGCTATGGGACTGCTCTGGGACTGCTGTGGGACTACTCTAGAAAGCAGACCCAGCAGTCCCAGCAGTCCCTGGGACTGCTTTCTGGGACTGCTTAGTTCACTCATGCATGAAAAAGGTTCTGAGTGACATGATAGCTCCGCCCCTTGTGTATTCTGAATTTGCAGCTCCTTGTTGTTGTTTTGTTTACTTTCTGCAGAGAGGTGTTTAAGATAGACACAAATATAAAAAAAACAAGTATTAATTTCTTACAAAAATTAAATAAATAGAGATAGTTATACATGTAATTACTAAATGTCTTAAGACGGCTGTAAATTTACACAATTGTAGTCTAGAATTAATTTAAAGAAAATAAAAGTAGTTAAAAAGGGAAGTCAGGGGATGATTTTTATCCCTTAAATTAAACTTCAATACAGGTGTTTGAAAAAAAAATTATCTAGGCCTATTTAATAAATTAATGCTTTCAAATTACATATGTACTCAAAGTTTGCATTAGCACTATTTAAAAACAAACAAACTTTATAAACAAGTTATTAAAAGAGTACATTTATTTAAAAAATAAACATTTGAAAATATCGGGAATTGTGACTTGTTTCTTATTTTTTTGTTTGTGTTAACCTGGCCGGTTAATACAGCTGGATTGTATAAAATGGTGTCAATACCTGAGTTTTCAATCGCCTTTGGGCATAATTAGCAGAAAGTCAATGCATGTTATTTGGGTATCAGTGTAACACATCATTGAACACGCTGGTCAACATTGACCCTTATTTCAATCTATGTCCTGCAAAGAATCTTAGTTTCAATAATTGTGTATAAATTTATTTCGGGATTAATCAATTTTGAACATAATCTAAGGGTTCCATTTGCGTGATTTACAGATGTACACTCGAACATTTATACAATAAAACACTTAAAACTGAGAATCTAAAGATAATATAATTAAGAAGTCATTGAAAATAATCATGACTGAAATATAATACTCGGCAATGTTTAACAAAGAATTTTTCAAAAGTTCCAATACTTAAGAAAAATGCATTCAGAGTATAGTATGGGAATCGGCCTTGCTCTATAATTATTATTATCTATTTAAAGCTAATTCTGGTATAAAATAAACAATTCAAGTTTAATTTTCTATATAAAAAAATAAATATGAAAACCAATATCAATCACAAAAAATAAAGAAATTGGTTTATTTTGGTTAAAAATTAATTTACCAAATAATTGTGTTTAAATATTCATGTTATTAATATGTGTGAACGTCTTCTTCATTCAATAATTATAATTTGTTTCTATACTCGTACTGTGATTTTCTTAACAGTTCAGAAATGACTGTCGCGTAAGAATTGCAAATATTTGTTGATACTACTCAGAAAGAATTGCTCGTCAATTTCAACTGCCTTTTATATAGTTGCATTGTTTATTGGTAATCTCAATCTGAGTAAGCTCCGCCCATTAAATTAATTAACCCCGCCCACTGGGACTGCTGGGACTGCTTTCTGGGACCGCTGGGACTGCTGGGACCGCTCTGGGACTGCTGTGGGACTGCTCTGGGACCGCTCTGGGACTGCTTTAGCAGTCCCAGAAAGCAGTCCCCGGGACTGCTCTGGGACTGCTTTGTGTCAGGTTGGGTCTGGTTGGTACTGTATAAGCTTTTAAGATTTTATAAAATTGATAGTTGATGTAAATTCATTTCTGAACAATGAAGCTCACAGACCATTGTAACTCGTTTGTTGATACCTGTACATGTATAAATTAAATGACTTATTGCGTGATTTTTAAAAAATTTTAATTTTATGAAAAGTATTATCTGCAATTTTCTTTGTTTGCATACTGAATACAATAAGATTGTTGTAGCCATATTTTAAGCGATATTTAGAGTTGGCATTAAAATACGGCAATATGCATATTTCAATCGGATTTCAGCGAAATACTGCTCTAACGTCATAGGCGTCTATTTAGTGATAGAGACTTTGCACACTATTTATGGACTTATAAACGACAAATGCGGCTCAATTACGAAAAACGCTGAAAAAATTCATTTTCAATGTGCTTTTCAATTATTATAGAAATAATAACTAGTTCTGAGATATAAAGCTTTTGAGATATTTTTTTTTATTCCAAACATGTGGAATCTGTAGCTCTGACTACGGCAATGTTTCGTGATCGGGAAATTATTTTTCAAGACCGCTACCCTTTACAAACACTAATGGCTTTCAAAACCCCTGTCCGTATGAAAATCTCCTTTCTTTCTCTGTAACCTACAGCATTTCCACAATTATGTACGGTATATCTATAGTATGTACGGTATGTCTACTCTGTATATGCAGTAATTCTCAGTATGCCACTGTATGTAACCCCAGCATGCCACAGTTACCTACAGTAGGCCCCAGTACGCCTACGGTAGGCCCCAGTATGGCTACTGCTTCCTACAGTGACCTACGGTATGCCACAGTATATACCCCAGTAGGCCCCTGTATTGTTCACCGAAGCAAAACGGTAGAAGTACACAATGTTTTAAGAGGCAATGTTTCTACAGTTGAAGTTATCCATCACTAAAAATTATTTATGAAGATTATGATGGTTTATAGAATTGTTTTTGTACATTACATCTCTAAAGTATTTATATACTTGCTATGTAGTAACAAATAAAATTTTTAAAACAATAGTATAATAGATTTATTTCTGACGGGGATGATTACGGTCAATGTAGTAGAAATAACGATAATAAATCATTATTATTTCAAGAAAAAGTCGTGTTATATCACTTTGAATCATCGAATCATAAACAAGTCAAGTCCGTTTTGACACATTGAAGGTACATATTTGGACTTTCTTCGAACTTATTAAAAAGAAAAATTAGTTCGTATTAAGCCCGCATGTTTTTCAATCAGATAAAATGAACATAGTTGTAAAGAAGTATTTTTTCCCCGATAAATATTGTTAAAAATGATGCCATTAATAAAAATGACTGTGGCTAATGAACTGAGGGACGTGATAACAAATTATTCTTCCTGACGCTTACTTGATAAAATTGAATTCTAAGTCGTATTCAGATAATATTTAATTTTTATGTATTTATGTAACGAATTCAGAAACAACTATTAGCAGCACTGGAAAGTTATTATTCTTTTCTCCTTTTCTCGTTATTTTAAGACGGCCCAGAAATCATTTGAATGTAATTTTCCATTCTTTTCTGTTGCATTTCTGACGATTCCTAATCTGCGTTTTGATTTACGTAATATTCTGCAAAAAGTCAATCAAGTTTCGATTGTGAAATCGATCATTCATTTTTTTTTTTAATTCATACGCAACTTTTATAAATATTTAAAACTTCTAAAAGTTATACTATTTATGATTGGAGGATTGTATAAAGCTATTAAGTTTATAAGCCACCCCCTCTTGTCTCTGTAAAATACGCTAAAGACAGGGCCTGATTATTTGTACACAGTTTTAGACATTAATTTTACGTCACCTTTTTGTTTAATATCGTGATGAAATTCTACATAATTTAGACCTTATCAGAACAAAATTTTCCGATTTTCGACCTTAAAATTAATTAGTATGCTCTTATGGTTCTTATGGTGATACAGAATTGATTTTGTTTAAAATGAAATGAATTTATAATTTAATAATAATTTCATTTACTCTATCATCTAGTTTCAATTTTCAGACCTACTTATGATTAAGAATCATAGACCCACCCCGCGCTTTTCTTTTATCAACTTCATTGTAAGCACTGAGGCAGAACCAGGGTAGGTTCTTGTATATATCGAATGTAATTTGCAATGGTCAGCTTAACAATAGGTCCTAATTGCCTATTGTTCTATGTCTGCGTCTGACCACTGTTGTTAGGACTAAATAATTAACTGACTGACCACTCGGAACAAGACTGTTTTACATTCACTATGAAATATCAGTTTAATTTATAGTATAGATATGCCAGAAAACTTTAATTAAAAAAAAATATATCTCCACCCCCACCCCCCACCCCCAAAAAATGCACACTGAAGCACAATATATTTAGAATTATTACTGCTGATTTGAACTTTATCCTAATACTTTCAACATCGATGTTGTTTCTAAGGCACTTCTTTAAGGGGTGAAATGCATGAATTAAAAATATAAGTTTCGGCTATACAATTTCTGTTTTAAAAATATCATATATTTGTAATGTAAAATGTATTGAAAAGCAGGCACGAATGCTTATAATCCTTTTATTCACAGGTACACTGAAATAAGCAGTCATTAAAATAATTCGAGTCCAGAGAGAGAGAACATAATTACACTTTAGATTATGCAAAATAAATGGATAAGAAGTTATTTTAAACAAAGGTCAGCGAAAACAGTTGAGAAATAAGGGGGGAAAAGGATCCGCACAGGAACCAAACTCTTCCCTCAGTTTTATATCAAAATCTACTAATCTAAAATTTACTCTGCTTTATATGCAGTTTGTATCATATGCTAATTGATTTTAAAAAGAAATCGGAATTTAAAACACCTGGATATATCTGTCAAACCTCTGGAAAAAAAAGATAATTCAATACTAAGTCTTTATTAATTCCTGAAATGCTTTAAGCCGTATCAATTTTAAATTCTAATCGAGAGAGAGAGAGAGAGAGAGAGAGAGAGAGAGAGAGAGAGTCCGAACCAAGTTATATACTGAAGCAAATAAAAAAAAATGACTTTGAACCCCCTTCCCTAGAAAGCGTGGACCTCACCATGAAATAGGTTTTTCTTTCACGTTAAGGAAATGGAATTTGTGTTAATTTCTTCTCTTTTTTTTTGAATTGGGGTGGAATATCCCCCCTCCTGGCAAAATTCTTGGATCCGCGCCTGGACAGCATGCTATAATGTAAAATATAATTGTCAAAAAAAATGTTAAAGTTGAAGATTATGGAGACTCGTAGGAAGCAATTATTTCACTCTGAGGGGGCACAACCATACATTTTCAGTTGGGGGGCACTATCAAGTACCAAAATTTCTGAACAAGCAAAAAAAAAGGTCAACGAGACGTTTTGATTGAGAGGGCACAAGCATAAAAAAGCTATGTTTTCTATAGTATTCTATATAGCGGCAAAATTGGGGGGGGAGCACGCCCCCCCCTGCCCCCCTCCCCACCCCACCCCCCGGTTCCTACGGCTATGTAATGTACAAAAGGTCGATTGAAAAAAAAATAATCGGTTGACAATAAAGAAAAAGACCTGTGTTTTAAGATACCATGTCATTAGATACTATGACAGATCCACTACTCTCTTTATTAGAAGGGTTACATGTACATGTACCAAGATTAAAAGACATTTTTTTTTCTCACTGAGCAGGCAGAAAATCTAAACAAATAAATTTTACTTTCCTGTATGGACGCGGATTGCTTTTCAAATATTTGCATCGGTGAAATATACTTACACCAGGGACCTTTATACTAAGGATATAGGTCATTAGTTACACGACGTGTTCAAGTTTATTAAAACACCAAGGAATATATTTTACACGCACATGTAGCCGCTAGCCAGGAGCATATATATTAGTATATACATTTAGGTCTCTAATGTAGCCGTACTATAAGTGAATAAAATCTTCATTGCAGAATCATTGGCCGTAATGCATGTCATTCCCAATTTGATGTTTTAAATTAAATATTTTTTGAATGAATGAAGGAATAAACAAACATACAAATAAATAAATAAATGAATAAATAAATAAATAAATATCAAATAAATAAATAAATATTAAATAAATAAATGAATAATTAAATAAATAAATAAATAAAAAATGAAATAATAATAAATAAATTCATTAATTGATAAATTATTATTATTATTATTATTATTATTATTATTATTATCATCATCATCATCATCATCATCATTATTATTTTACTTGAAGCAATGATTTGTAAACTTTTCAGAATTATAGCATAACCTTATAAGTCTCTTAACAATTGTAAACATTATGAAATGTACGAATAAAAAATAATTGTAACAGTTTTACTGTTTATAGTTTATTTTTTGTTATTTGTCAGCAAGAAATGTATACTTCAGATCAGTCAACATTAAAGACCATTTCGATATTTTCTTTGTGGAAATAAAATATGCGTGAAGTTTTTGCCTAATGTGGATCACGAGACCTGTATTAGTTGACTTCAGTTGTATTACTATGTGTATAAAATAATGTTCAAAATTTTCTCAAGGAAAATAACCTTGTATACTGACGCAGGTAGGTTAAGGCTTCCCGTAGAATATCACAGTGCACTCTGTGCCTTCACATCACTGAACTACCAAAATATGACGTCATAATGGAAAATGACGTCAAGTCACTGCAAACTTGAGGTGTTATGACGGGGAGAGTGTCATAAACTTTACACTTTATTTCAAACTGTATGTAAAATGCTAGATAGCCATTGCAAAATTCACAGGTCGTTAAAGGTTTTTTAAAGTCTTATATGTCCGAATATTTTAAAAATACACTGCTTACCTACCCTCGATTGAAATTCAACATGTTCAAAATGCTTATGAAAAATATACTTTTGAAATGTACTCTGTTTTATACCCGTGGTTCGAGGTAGAATTTATTTTGTGTGTATAAAAGAGTCTGGCGCAAGTGATTAATGAGGATTTATCTGAGATTTTTTGTGGAAATCTGTAAGAAGAGGTTGTTCTCTAACTGAATCTTGCTTGGGGAAAATGTGTGTTGGCTTTGTTTTAATACAGATTACGATATTGTGTGGAAGATACCCTCAAATTTGTAGGTAAGTTGAATTTCTCAGGAAATATTTTGTATCTAAGTAATACTATGACTTTTCCCAAGCACATTTCGGATACACAAGAATACAATGAGTTTCTTTACATAACAAAATGTTAATAATTATTGTGTTAATCACCTGCACCGAAGCGATTTATTTGAAACACTTCAAAAAATTATAAATTACCGTCACGTGATCAACAAAGTCATGTGATACCATAACAAATATGTTAATATGTAGCCGAGGAAACCCTGTATATGAATTGGAAGTACTAAAGTTCAATACTTATAAATTAAAACCAAAACCGACCTCGCAATGACATATCATGTTTTGAGCGCGTTTAAAAGCTTCGGGAAGCCTTAACATAGCTGCGGAACTGAAAACCTCACATCTTAGATAAACAGTGCCTCTGGAAGTGTGTATACTTCTTCCGTTTTGCTTCGGTGAACAATACAGGGGCCTACTGGGGCATATACAGTGGCATATCGTAGATCACTGTAGGAAGCAGTAGCCATACTGGGGCCTAACGTAGGTAACTGTGGCATGCTGGGGATACATACAGTGGCATACTGAGAATTACTGTATATACAGAGTAGACATACCGTAAGTAATTTTGGAGCGCTCGCGAACGTTCGCTCTGTTGAACAGGCCTCTGGTCAGCCATTGTCGCCATTTACGTCACAGGATCACGTGATCGTTATTTAATTAACTTGGATTTTTAATTTAGGGGTTTTCTTTTGAGTCAATAATTGTTTACATGTAGTTATCGCGGTTTTTCCGCAGTAATATTTATAATTGTGGTCGTAAGGAAAGTAATACGTCTTTAATTTTAAATAGTTTAGAAACATGCGATAAGTCCTTTAATTTAATGTTATTTTGGCCCTTCAGGACCAGACTGGAAATGGGAAAACGATGATGGCGGTGAAGGTAGTTTGGGAACTGTTTACAGAGTCAAAGAAGATGAGATCTACGTATTTATGAAAATGATTTCTCTCTCAGAGTTAGAAAAGTTTTCGCTATTATTATGTTAAAAATGACACAATTTTCAAGTTTTTTTCTGTTTTTAATTTGATAATATTATAGGTACGCTGGTCCAATGGAAACAAAAATAAGTGCAGATTTGGTTATGATGACAAATTTGACATTATTGTCTGGTGGGTGAATTTCAAGAATTTGAATGGATTATATAATCACGCATATAATTTTCAGACTATTTTTAACAACACAAGAAAGATGCGATTCCCAATTTTGCCCTTAGAAAAACATTGGAAGTTTTCAGCACGAATTGAATTGAAAAAAATAGCGTTAAGTTCAATATAAGTTTAAGATTAATCTACGCCAATAACATGTCAACTATTATCTTTTTTTAAGCGTATAAATTATCATGAAATTTTGTCATGCAACAATTTTTAAAGGTTAGTTTAATGCATTTTTCAGAAAGGCAAGAATATTGCTTTATACTTATCAATCGTCAGACCAAGGTTGTCCGATACAATAGCGAAGTATTCCTGCTCTTGCACCTTTTAGAGCAACCATTTGTGCAATTTATTCAGCCAAATAGGATATAAAAAGTGCTTAAAATAACTAATTTATAATTATACCAAATGGTCCCTTCCATTTGCTATTGAAATTAGAATTCACCAAAAACAAATATTATAAGTATTATTCTTGTGGACAATTTTGTATATTATAGGAGTGTTCGAGATCTTGAATTTAAATTCGAAAATCCAGTTGATAATGTTATAACGGCTGATCTCTTACCTTTTTATGACAATGAAATAAAAAAAATTATGGTTTAGATATTGGAGATCATTTTTATGAAATACATTTTTATATAAAAAAAATATGGGTACATAAGATAGATATTTTCATGCCAAATATCATATTATGCAATTGTTTCAAAACTGAATTTTCTTTTCGTTTTCAGCAACCCCTTCGACGAAAGCACAATGACCTATTTAAGAAAATGTAAATCTGCTTTGGAATATGCTGTCGACAGTGTCACTGATGTCAATAGCAGTACAAGAAGTGAAAGTCCTACACAGAAAGAGAGTAATATTTATTTTTACATATATCATGAAATGCCCTGGATATAAACAAGATTTCAATATAAACTTAGGTGACAATTTTAAGTCATGGTATACAGTAGGTAAGTTGATCAAAAATGTGCAGTATTCTAACTTTTCGTCTGTACCTATCTGACTTTCCCAGAAAAAGTTGAGACAGAATCTGAACAGGCCATTGAACGAAAAACTTCTGGAATAAATAATGTCGATAAGACGATGGAGAACGTGTCTTCCACAGGAAGTAAGCAGGAATACGATGCAGAAGTTTTATGGCAGTGGCAAAATGAGCAAGGAGAGTGGAATACGTTTCCGAAGTTGGAAAATGAGAAAATTAAAAGAGAGTTTGCTAAGAATTATAGATCCACTATTCTACTGGGAAATGATGAAAATATGTAAGTATTAACGAAGGAAGTGACTGGATATTACAAGTAATAAATTTCCCGCAAAAATTATACTGTTTAAAGTTTCAGTCAATAGTTTCAAGTTACTCTTTTTTGTATTTTATCTAATTTTTTTTATTTTATTTATTTATTTATTTATTTATTTATTTTTTGGTCATAGGTTTAGACTGGTGTTATCGAAGATGAAATTGATAAACATATTTTCGAGAAAGACTTATGATGTGAGATGTTTTGAAAACAATCCCGGTGGAAAGGATTGACATTCAACACATTGCTAAAATATGCTTTATAATTTGGAAAATTGCTTTTGGAATATATATCTTACTTTATTTATTCGATCATTGCTGTTGTATTTAAAATAGAAGTAAAACCATAGCAAAATCAAACATTAACAATAGTTTAAAATACTAAGTCAAAGTATCCAAATATACTTAAGACAATCAAGGTCTCACTGTGGTAAAATAAGTATATTTACCGTGAAATTCGAATTGTTATATCTCATATTATCCAATCCTAAAATGCATTTTTTTTTTTCAATATTTAAATGGGAGTGTTACTTGTATATTCAAATATTATTTTAAAATCACAGTTATTGCTGGGATTTCGGAGAAATTAATTCTCTAATTCTCTTAAGAGTAATGTTTTATAATAATTGAAGTTTCATAGTTAAGATTCAAAGTACTACTCAATCAAACTATCAAAAGAAAAGTATTAAAGAATGTACTGCCACTTACTCAAGTAAACTTGATCGAGATAACTATAAAGACTTTTTTGTTAGAGAAATCAGGCAAGAAATTATTCTACGCTGTTTCGGTTTGCATTTAGCCTCGTATCTCATGGATTCGTGGTACTTACCGATTCGAAATTAAATTTATTCGATTAACAAAATTTTCAGCTCATTATTATTGTAATGTAATTTGAATAGGGTCTTGTCCTTATTTAGGTTAAACATTATGTATTCATATACGAAAATGTCTAGTTGACCGTCAACTAGCAGTCAAGTAGTCGTCAACTGAATACTCGAAAACACTTGACCACTAGCAGTTGAATGCTTTTCTGAAAACTGTTTTGCATAAAATGGTCAGTTGACCATCAATTGACTGCTTTTCACCGAGTTGACCATTGCCGGTAGTTGAATGCTAATACTTGGAAAATTTCATGCCAGAAAAGAGTTGACCATTGTTGAACACTCCGACTTTGTGAGATCTTGCAGAGTTGACTATGGTTGACCCTCAGTATTAGAAAATCTATCTGACTCTATTTATGTTGGGTTTGAAATGACATTTTTACAGATCGGGTTTGCAATTCCATTACGTATTACAACAATCTAAGTTTGAATTAAAGTAACGTCTGTCAGTGCATGATTTGTTAGAAAGTGGAGAATTTTGAATTGAAACAATTGTTTTCATTAATGATTCAGCTTGTGGAATCCACGTAAGTATAAAATTTACGATTTTTTCTTTCTATATATCTTTTTCCTAAAAGATATTAGAAAGACATAATACTGTATCCAGTATAGGTCTCTACTAATGTGTACTTGTTAAAATATTCAACGAATTCCGATAATTTCTTTGCATCAAGTGTTTTGTTGTGTTTCCTGTTGTGTTGTTAAAAATATGCCATTGCTTTACACTAAATCTCCTTTTTCTGCACAGAAAATAAATGAGGCATAGCAACTTGAGAGAGTGTGCCAACTCAATTTATTTTTATACATTTATGAACATACATCTATATAGATGTATATCATTTTAGTAACCCCATTGTTTTGACTTTTCCTACTCAGAGACATATTGCAGCTTTTCCAAGCACACTGCTTGCCTTAGCTAGGTTTTCAAATCTCCTTCAATTTTTTTTAATGCAACATGCATTGACTAATAGAGTATTCAACAGTGGTCAACTGCAAAGAAAATTGAGGAGTATTCAAATAATGGTTAACTGCAAAGAAAACAGAGGAGTATTCAACTAATGGTCAACTGCAAAGAAAACAAAAGAGTATTCAACTAATGGTCAACTACAAAGAAAAAAGAGGAGTATTCAACTAATGGTCAACTGCAAAGAAAATATAGGAGTATTCAATTAATGGACAACTGCACAGAAAATAAAGGAGTATTCAACTAATGGTCAACTGCAAAGAATATACAGAGCATTCAACAATGGTCAACTATATGCAAATGAGTTGAATGCTCCGTCATTTGCATGGCAAAAATTCAACTAATGATCAATTGACTGTCAATTAATCGTCAACGAACTGTCAACTGAATACTTCGATTGTATTTTAATAGTATTTTTTGTATGGGTTTTCATCGCTAATCTTTGTCGAAATTCACCCTCCAAAAAATATATCATTTATTTTCATTACGGTTTTAAGGAAGTCTTGATGGGATCATCATATCTGAAACACATTGGGCGAGCATTTACGAACCATGCGTGCATTATTCGGCATTCTAGCTAAGGAAAACTTAACTGGAAACCTTGGAAAAAGCGAGTTTTATCATGCTTATGTTGAGTATTTAGGTCATTAAGTAGGTCAGGGTTATATTACACCCATTATGGCTAAAGTGGAACTTTTGCAAAGTTCCTGATTCCTACAGATTAGAAAGAGTTTATGAGATATTTGGGCATGGCTGGGTTTTACAGAAAAATTTTTCCTCAGTAGTTAGTCCACTTAGTCTTACAAATCTTTTCCAAAAGTAGGTTAACTTTGAATGGACAAAGGACTGGGAAAAATCATTTCATAAAATAAATCTGTCCTTATGAGCAATTCAGTTCTTTCAACTCCGGATTTTTCTAAGCAATTCAAGCTTACTGTTGATGCTGGCTTTGTTTCAAGAACATGGTGATAAGGTAAATAGAGTTGTTTCTTATTTTTCAAAGAAATTTTCAAATGTCAGCAAAAGGAAAAAAATGCCTTGCTTTATTGTTGGCTTTACAGCATTTTGCTGTTTATTTAAATATTACTTTGCATCCAATTCTTGTATATACGTATCACAACACCCTAAATTGTCAAACAAGAATCAAAGACTTACTAGATGGAGTTTGTTGTTACAAGCTAGAATACAATATAACTATTAAACATTGCAAAGGCAAAGGCAATGTTATCGCAGACGCCTTGTCAAGAGTTTCATGAATATATATATTTTTTTGTTTTTTACAATTTCAGTTTTCATTGATATTCAGATTTTTTAATGGGGAGGTGTTGTGAGTTGTTTTGTAGTTGAAATGTGTTTGTATTGTTTCATCAATTATATATTGAGTAACATCAAACTTCTGGGATATTCCGGAGTGGTCAACATGTATGGTCATTTTTATGCTAGAACATTCTTGGTTCTTGAATTTCGTGTATGTCTAGAATGTTCCAGTAACATCTTGTATTTACAAATTCTAGAATTTTCTATATTTCTGTTAATGTATAGTGTTGATTCTATGCATAAAAAAAGACTGGAGTAAAAAAAAGCCTGGGGTACAACAAGACGGAAGTAAAAAATGACTGGAGTACATGTACAAAAAGACTTAAAGAGACTTGAGTACAAAGAGACTGGGATAAGACAGGTGCTGGATACTCTCAGTGGGACACTGTGTGTACAATAAGGGAATCTCTTTTGTATGTATGTTTGGATTCTTGCTGTTAGTTTGTACTTTTTGAGTTTTATATATTATTAAATTAAATATTTTTAAAATATATTTTTATATATTATTGTAAATAAATTGTTAAGGTTAAAGCGTGTGATTGATTTCTGCAGGCATTTTGGGTTATTCTGACCCATAACAGTTGTCTCTTGAGATTTGTTGTAACCGAGTTTTACTGCAAAGAGTACGTACATTTGCTGGAATCTGGATGATTGTTATGGATTTGATAAAGATTACTCAGAAACATTGTGTACCTATAGCGTGATTGTATATGAAGATTAATGCTTATCAATTCATTTGTAATAAGCAAAACCCGTGTAGGTAGAATGATTTCATCTCAAAATTGCTAGATTTAATACAAATATCGTGTTCGGCCTTATTTTTCTCGACTTGAACGTACTGAAACGCTGATTTCCGCCAAGAGGATATTTTTAGAAAGAATCAGTGGGGGCGTAAGACGTTATGGAAACCTGACTCTCTGTTCGACAATTCTCGTCTCTTTTTGTACTTATTCATTGCTGGGAAACTGAATTAACTTGGAAAACAGTTGTTTGTAGTTTCAATGGAATACGATTAATGTAAATAAATATCCACATCCTGTTGTTCATTAAATTCTGAACTGAACTACAAGCTAATTTCCAAATACATATGAAGAAAGATACAGACAGAAAAAGAGCTTATTTTTGCCATGCATATGATGGGACGTCATTTCATTTATTATTGCTTTAGAGTACTTCACCATTTATTATTCTTACGTTGCAGCTTGTAAGCAAGAAGAGAGGAGAATGAAACGAACCATTACCTTTTAAACTGTGCCTTCTAAAAGCGTCAAATTGTGATAACATTTCGATTTCGAGAATGTGAAGAGTTGCACTTAAAAAAACAAAACTTTAATTGTTACTGATGTAGGACAATTAGACAACATGATTGCTTAAATAAACTTAAGCAACATTTATATCATACAATATGTTTCTGTGTATGTGAAGGATTATAATGCAAAAGAAATAAGGAGTATTACATTTATTTTCCATGAATTTGATGCATGTTGTTATCCGGATGAAAATAAGGAAAGTTATTCAATCTATGCGTCCAGTTACAGATGTTTACAAGGAAGTAAATCAAGAAAATTAAAGCAAATTAAAAACATATTTTGAAACATTTAAAGATTCATAGAAAATCTAAAAAAAAACAAACAAACTAAACAAAACAAATATATATGTTGTTTTACAAATATGAAAATGTGAAAATCTGCTTATGGCAGCCGCAGGTAGACTTGATGTCAATTGCTTGAGAGAAAGATGGAGCAAAGAGGCTGAAGAAAGTAAGTATCAAAGGTACGAATAAGAAGTGTTTTTAATTCAAACAAGA